TGATCTGCAACACTCTCCAACACATTCAATCAACTCGTTCTAGATACCTCCGGACGTTCCACTAAACACCTTCTTTTCAATAAACTCTTGAAACGCGGGGTCCTTGGTGGCAACCACGATGCAAAAGTCCTTATAGTTTCCTCTAAAGGTAGAATCCGATTTCTCGTTATGGCTACGGAATTCAAGTCCATGTGTCCCAAGGAAACAAGTGACTTCAATCATAGTTTTCATCCCGTTCCTATTTTTTGTCATCTCTGCATTGTGTTTGTTTCTGGCAACCTGCCGGCTGTGGTCTAGCGATTCATCAATTCGCAGCTGTCCGAATGTCAATGCAAATGAATTATTTATGTGATCCTTCGAACTTCAATGTGTTTTTGTAGATGCCGAAAGGTGGTTCAGATCACTATATCCTTCCTTGGACCATACACTTTTTTCATTGGAGCTTCGGAACAGCAAACATGGCCAGCTATAGAGTTTGTTCAATTTCGTGGAACCACAAAGCCATTGTTGATCATATGATGACATATTAAAGTGACGTGACATTATTTTTCCTTTCAATTTGTACTTAGATTTCAATTGCTCTATAGGTGGGCGAGGAACCGGACTTTTCACAAGTGCCATTTTGTCCTCTATTGTACGGGCGGAAAAAGGACATTTTAGGATTTGCTCGATTATGCAATTTCCAGCTTTATCCTTCATCTGAAACATTCAGTCAAAAACACAGTTTATTACGTTGTGATAAATTCTGCACAATGTAAATTTACTTACCACGTCGACCACAGGTCAATGAATTTTATAGTCATTGAGCGTGAAGGCGGGAAACATGAGTACAGAGAGAGGTAGCTCAGACAGTGAAATGTGTTTGGATCAGTAAACCAAAAATCAACGCAAACGCAAATAGTGACGTCACTGCTTGCGTGTATCGTACAGTGGTTGTGTGAGTGATTGCTTTACCTCGGTAAAAAATCTAATAGCGAATATCGTTTATTATCGGGGTTGGAACCAGTGCGAAACCGAACTTTTTGTCAGTGCGAACCTCAACCTGAGCTATGTTTTAAAAACAAACGAGCAAACTGACGTTTGTCAGAAAACAAGCAGACCCAATCTTGATACCCGATCCAGGTTGGAACTGAATAATAAACGAATTCGCTTTAAGGTGGTTAGCTGTGAGATCCTTATTCTCGCTACCACTTCGAAACTTTAAGTGCACAAATATCAGCTTCCACGACACGTACTATAATGAAACTGTTACTCCACGTTTGCTACGCTGCAGCATACATGCAGTAGCAATTTCAGGTGAAATGGAACTCTAATTTCCGAGATGTGTGTAATTGAAAATTCTAGGTGGAAATGCATTTATAGCCTACGTGGTGGCCATTTGTGGACTTGAGGAAAAAATTACCTCGGTAATCCACGCCTTAGGCGGGAAGCACGAACGTAGAGGAAAACGAAACAAACGAACAAATTCATTAAACACGAAGACTTGGTTGTGTTTGCGTTTTGACATTTCCATCACTTTTGTTCAGGAGAAAATTTGAACTTCATCGAGACCACGCACAACGTTGCCAGATATACCGATTTATCGGTATTTATAGCGATTTCCGAACTAGATACCGATATACAGATAAGATTCCTCAGAATACCGATTTTTAAGATTTTATACCGATTTATACCGATTTTTTAAATAATCAAAATTATTATTGCTCAAATTTCGGAGATTTTTTTTTTGTGAGAGACTTGTATGTTTTTGAATACCTCATATTTGTTTGGCCTTCAAAATTCTAAAAAAAATTAAAGACAGTTTCAAAAACTTCTGTTACAATTCGAAAACCCAGATATTTCACAAAAGTCCAGTGAACTCCAGTGAACTTAAGCAAACATCATAAATATTTTGGAATCTTCACAAGTCCAAAGAACTTCAGGGAAATTTAATGGTTTTCAGGAACTTTAGTGAAGCTCAGAGAACATCAGGACAGATCAATTAATTTCAATGAAATTGCTGAAATTAGAAAGGAGTTCCGAGAAACTCAGGCATTTTCCGAAAACTTCACCAATGTCCTGAGGGGTTCATGCAAATTTAGGAAACGTAAGGGAAGTTACTTGAACAGTAGAACATTGCGAGAACATTTTATAGGAAGTTCGATGCTTTTTGAATGGCAGTGCCGATAACTTTTAAAAATAAAAAAGTAGAAGGGTCTGTGCCTAGGGGCACGAACGGAAGCTTGACGTAGGACCGCTAGTGGACGGAATAAATGTGAAGAGCATTTAGTTCTTTTAATTGATCAATCATCTATTATCTAAGCTCTTTCCGTTTTTGAATTGTAGGCGTACCAAATTTGTAGTAATTTTTTTTTCAAAGTGAAAGTTTATTAAGAGAATCAATCAAAATCACTTGTACCCCTGCTTCCAAGTTTGGTTACAAGATTACAACTCTGGAGAGCATTTTGTGTGGTCGTTGGGGGCTTGTGGTTCTGAATATGGACAAACAAGCACAGATAAATTCTTTTCCAACTCTTTACTGATGTAAGCTTGATGGCCCTGAAAAGGGCCGTTTTATTGAAGAGGACATCATGGCCACTTACGCTTGGCGTGTTTAGTGTAGGTGACAGCATCACGGACCTCATTTTCCAGGAATACCTTCTGCACACCTCGTAGATCAGACTGGAGATACGTTTGACACCACCACGGCGAGCCAGATGACCGATGGTGGTTATCTCGAAGAACTTTGCGATGACGCAAGACCTTTTCCTCCTTTGCCACGACCAGTCAATTGTTGCTTGTTCCTACTGCTGCTCAAGCTGTTCACCACGCCGTCCGAAGCGAAAATGAGCTTATGCCATACAGCAGCGCTCTTTTATATCTTTTTAGGTTAAAGCAGAATGATTTGCAACCAAGTGGTATAAAAGCTACAAAGACTCCTACCATTATGAGTAGTTTGCTATCAAGTAGCGACATTGGCTCTTTTCCTTTTGCGTACACGGCGAATGAGAACGACCCAAATTTGAGTTTAGTTCACTCATAATTGCCAAAAATGCAGGAACTCAGCGATGAGTAAATTTGTCTCATGGTTTCCTGTGGAAAACCTAAAAAATCTGCCAGAAAATGAGGAAATTGACGAAAATTTTATTCAGTCTCGGAGTAGTACCAATAGACTGAGTGAATCCTATCTTTACTTTTCTGAAATTCGGGATTTTTTCCCTGGAAAATCCTGGAAAAACATGAGGCAAATTTACTCATCGCTGAGTTCCTGCACTTTATTTCTTCTTTCTGAGATAACTAAACTCAAATTTGGGCCGATCTCATTCGCCTTGAAAGATATCGGCGCCGGTGGTTATCGTGATTACTTCTCATCCCAGCAGACCTGGGTTCTTTCTCAGTCGCACCGGCATGTTCTGAGGCATAACATATCTGATCCCACCTTCCTTCGGGAAGAAAAGCCGTTGATCCCCTGTTCATGAGTTGCTTTGCGTGTTTAGTGTAGGTGACAGCATCACGGATCTCATTTTTCAGGAACATCTTCTGCACACCTCGCAAATCAGACCGGAGATACGTCAGACACCGCCACGGCGAGCCAGACGACGGATGGTGGTTATCTCGAAGAATTTGCGTTTGGTTCTGAATATGGCGATGAGTGTGCAAAATATTACGCAATTCCATCCTCCCTATTTGCACGCGCCCGAGGATCGGAGGCGAATGCCACTTCGACTTGTTTCGTCTACTTACTACTCTCTGACGCCTGTGCTGGGGAAGCAGCATATGCATGTAGGTCATTGGTGGATTTGTTAGTTAATTCGACGCTTTTGGACAATGCTGGACATTTACCAGTTTTTCAATAGTTTCTTGTTAAAAATCAACATTCGAAAGCATTGTTATCGATGCCTAGCCATATTTCTGATCGATTGGTGATAAAATTATTGAAATTGGACCAGGGGCAGCTGTGTTATTAACGTTCAAAATCTTTCTTAATTTGTTACATGTTCCATTTTCGGTTTTCACAAAGTGTACCCCCATATAGAAATCAAAGACGTAGTCCTACGTCAAAAAATCGGGAAGATCAGAGAACTTCAATGCTGATGTTACAATAAATTCGAGAAATTTGTGAGAGCACTTAAGAGACTTCGTAATCTTCAAGAAAGTTCAGAGACTTTCAAAGGTGATTAAAGATATTCCGGCAGTCCCTAATTTCAGGAAAATTACAAGAACTTTTAAGGAACTTCGAGGAATTATGGAATATTCCTAAGTGCATTTCAGGACTGTTCCGAAAACTTGAAGGAAATTGCGGAGTTTTCAGGGATGTTTTTTGAATTACGTACTTGTTTCTTTCGACTGTTCCGTAAGCGCTCTGGCTTCTGACTTTCTTCAGATGTTTCTTCTAGGAAGTTTCTTTCGTCTTCTCCAGGAAGTTCAATTAATTCTCCCAGAAATTTCTTTCGTCTTCTTCTGGAAGTTTGACCATAAGCCAAAGGTTTTTTTGTTCTACTTCTATTGGAAGGTTTTTCCGAGCTTCTTCTGGCTTTTCCTGGAAATGCCTCCTTTTGAAAATTTACTTCCGATTTCCGAAACTTTTCGATTTTCGATTTTTTTTTCGATAGTTTATTTAAATTTTCGCCACAAGTTTCTCAATTCGTGTGTTGGAAGTTTCCCGGATGTTTTTATAACTTTTCTTAGAATTTTACTCGAACTTCATCCAGGAGAGCTTCTTTCGTCTTTCTCTGGATGTTCTGTCAGCTTCGTTCAAAAGCTAATTCAAACATTCCCCGGACTTTTCTTCCGGAATTTTTCGATCATAGTTCAATAGCAAAAAAAATTGCTTTGATTAACGGCTTTCTCATTCACTGCAACACTGCAACGACTACGATGTAATCTGCTTGAAATTCGGAAAATATGTTTGACGTTTTGTTCAGCAGAAACCGTGAACCAACGTGTATCGTGGTTCGCTGTAATCGATTGCAATAACGACTTGGAAATTAATGTGGATTGTTATTACTGATGCGTTTCTGTTTTACTCTAAAATATAGATAGAGTGTGTATTTTGATTTTCAATTGATAAAATTATGCTCAATTCGATTATTGTAATTTATGGTATTAATCCTTTATTGTTTAGTATCAAATTGTATTGACAGACAAAAGTAATATAATGTGTTTAAAATTTTTATCAACCTGTCCTATGAACAGGTTGAACAGGCGGACGAGACGCCACTGCTTTACATGTAATTTTAAATAATCATTTTTTACAACTAAAGTTAGTAGAATGAGGGCCGAATACTCGCGGTTTACTCGAGATTAATAATTACAAAGTTGCCAGTTTATCAAGAGTTGGTCAAGCATCAGGAGTGCAAAAGCCCAAAAGCACCAGAGCTCCAAAGGTTCTTGGAATTTGAAGAGTTCTCGTAGTGCTGCGTACTTCTGAAAGTTTATAGTATTCCGAACACGGATTTTTTTCAGAAAGCCAATTACGAGACATTCCGAAACAAAAAGTGTCCATTTAAAACTTTGTGTACCTACAGATACTGGAACAATACGACATCTATTGGGGATTTTGCAGTAGTAATAGGATCTTTGTAATAGGAATAGCAGTGGTAACCACGGGCTAATAACTACACTAAAAACATTTGTTTTCTTTCAAACTGAATCGTTTAGGCCTAATTCAATTTCAGATCTTAGTTCTTTCCGTAATTTCCAATTAGTAACGCTTCGAATAATAGGCTGTCGGAATACAAACGAAGGTTTTATTATACTTAAAAAATGGAGCAATTTCGTTTCAGCTTATTTTATTATCCGATAAATTACCTATTTTGCTTCTAATATAAACCCAGACAACCAGAAGTCGTATAACAAAGCACAGATAGAATTGCAAAATAAAACAAATTTCGTTCAAATCGCATTTATATGAATGAATTTCATCACATAGGTAATGATCCATAGTATATAATGCAAACTTTTGACCTATATTTGCAGATATGAATATGCTTGTATACGTATCATAAAAAAACATCTTTGTTATACAAGCATTCCGATGGCCTAGGATAGCATCAAGCTGAACACTGTCAACTCACTTTACGTCAGCTTTGAAACTAATTTCATATTGGAGCATATCTTGTTTTAGTTTTGAAGAACTTCTCATCGCTGCAAGAAGTTTGTTTTTCAGAGCGATCGTCGTGTAAAACGATTGGGTAAAGCTCTGAGCATAGAGTGAATTCTCTTTGCGAAGACTCTCCATATTATTCAACAAACTCCTACAATCATCGATCATTATTTTCAGATCATTTTTATCCTTGTCTGTCACCTTGTTGTCATCTTTAAGCTCTCTTTCTTTCGCGTCAATTTGTTTCCGTTTTCCAACCACATCTCCATGGAGAGTATCCCACCGACCGTTCCATTCGTCCTGAAACGAATCTATATTTTCCTTAAGGTTTGTGTCCATTTGGTCTTGTTCCTTCTGGAAGCGTTGCATCCTTTCATGCAAATTTTCATTGTTCGATTCATCGTCATCGTGTACGGTCAAACTGCAGCAGATGCCCTCTACAGGTAGTCCGTTTGGACAATTTCCTGCATCCTCATTCCGATCAACCAGTGTAATGAAGTCCCGATTTTTGATCTCTTTCAGCGCCTCATTGAGCCAATAACAAGTCCATAAATTTTTAGCCACGGCCAGTTTCTCCAAGCTCACAAACTGATCGAAGTTGTCCACATCCAGTTTGACCAGCATGTTGTTGCTAATATCCAGCTCAACCAGCTGCAGCATATTCCAGTTGCTGACCTGCAGTGTCGCAAGCTTGTTGAATGCCAGCGAGAACCACTCCAGTGAGGGCAGTTGTATTGGTTGTGGGCTGGATATGTGGTTGATATTATTCTTGGCTAGAGACAGTTTCGTAAGTTTTGTCATTCCGTCGAACGTTGCCATTTCGATGAACTCCAGCTTGTTGCCTTCTAGACGGAGTTCTTTCAGATTGACCATGCACTTCAGTTCCCGTATGGATTGAAGTTTGTTGTTCGCAAGGTTCAAACTTTGAAGCTTGTATCCAACGACTGGTGTAGCGACTTCATCTGACTCAGCTGGGGTAGAAGTAGTTATATGATCTAATTTAGTATATTCTTGAGATTCGGTTGTAGTAGTTACTACGGATGCAAGGGGAGTTTTTGCTTCGGATGCAACTTGAGTTTTTGATTCGGATGCAACTTGAGTTTTTGCATCGGATGCAACTTGAGTTTTTGCATCGGATGCAACTGCAGTTTTTGCTTCGAATGCAACTTGAGTTTTTGATTCGGATGCAACTTGAGTTTTTGCATCGGATGCAACTGCAGTTTTTGCTTCGGATGCAACTGGTGTTTTTACTTCGGATGCAACTTGAGTTTTTGCATCGGATGCAACTGCAGTTTTTGCTTCGGATGCAACTGGTGTTTTTACTTCGGATGCAACTTGAGTTTTTGATTCGGATGCAACTTGAGTTTTTGCATCGGATGCAACTGCAGTTTTTGCTTCGGATGCAACTGGTGTTTTTACTTCGGATGCAACTTGAGTTTTTGATTCGGATGCAACTTGAGTTTTTGCATCGGATGCAACTGCAGTTTTTACTTCGGATGCAACTGGTGTTTTTACTTCGGATGCAACTTGAGTTTTTGATTCGGATGTAACTTGAGTTTTTGCATCGGATGCAACTGCAGTTTTTGCTTCGGATGCAACTGGTGTTTTTACTTCGGATGCAACTTGAGTTTTTGATTCGGATGCAACTTGAGTTTTTGCATCGGATGCAACTGCAGTTTTTACTTCGGATGCAACTGGTGTTTTTACTTCGGATGCAACTTGAGTTTTTGATTCGGATGCAACTTGAGTTTTTGCATCGGATGCAACTGCAGTTTTTACTTCGGATGCAACTGGTGTTTTTACTTCGGATGCAACTTGAGTTTTTGATTCGGATGCAACTTGAGTTTTTGCATCGGATGCAACTGCAGTTTTTGCTTCGGATGCAACTGGTGTTTTTACTTCGGATGCAACTTGAGTTTTTGATTCAGATGCAACTTGAGTTTTTGCTTCAGGTGTATCTTCAGCAGGATTTTCTGCGCTAAGTACTGCATCAGAATTTTCTTTGGAATCGGCTGGTTCATCACCAAAAAATCTATCTGAAGGGTCATCATCGGTTGACTCCACGACCAACTCCCGGATATGGTTGGATTCGGCATTCAAAGAAACCCAGTTGGATGGGATGTAAAGAGATTCGATGTTCAACCGTCCAAGCGTTACCTTTGTAACGCCTCCAAATTGGGACACGACATTTTCGGTGAAATGGGGAATATTTCCGGAGCGAATGATCAAAGTATGTTTTTCAGCCAAATTCGGAAATGTGGATTCCTCATAACCATCCAATGTCACAAACTGCAGCAAGCAGATTTTTGATCGAGGATTCTTACACTCCAATCCTTTTTGCGAGAAAGTGTGGACCAGCGATAACTGGAACAAACTACGGTGAAAAGAGAAATTAATTGTTCACCCAATCGAACACTTAGAAACGAAATCCTACGTACAGAACCGCAATCAGCAACTTGATAATCATCTTGGCTCGATCACTCACCAACTAATGAAAAACTACCATCGATCGTTTAATCTACCTCTTTGCCTTTAGCTACAATGTAGAATTCTTATCAGCGACATAACTGATAACTGTTTCTTTCTTCATCTTTGTTTTCAGACGATTCCGACCACGTTTACGAATCGCTAGAGTCGCACGGGCACTCACGTATCAGTACTCCCTCGATTATCAACCGACGCGTCCCTCCTCCACCACCATCAACTAACGGTACGACCGCTGCTGTAGTCGGCATCGATGACTTCATCAATCCACCTCGAGCAACAACCGATCAACCCTTCCTGGATGGCGTTGATTCCGATTCGTTCGATAGCGACGAGAGTGACGAGGATCGGAAAAACGATCCCTACGCCCACCACAATCCAACGAGTGATATCAACAGCGCCAAGCAGCTGCCAGATCCACCCCCGCCCAACAATCAAATGTACGCCCTAATGCAGAAAATCCGCAGCATCGGAACTCTGTCCAAGTCAGAGCTTGCCAAAGGCTTCAACAAATTTTCGAAAAAGAAAACCAGCTCTTCTAAATCGCCAAAGATCTTCACCGGGGAAAACCTCACCTTCCCTCCCGGCCCGGACGAGTCTACAAACTACGAGAGCACTCCCCTCCCGAAAACGCCAAAATCCAAATCCAAATCCTTCAAGCTACCCCTCCAGCTCGGATCTTCCAGTAAACCCTCGTCGGACGATTACGAAAATACCGACTTCCATCAAGCCGTAACTCCAACCTCCGTTTCGCCCAATGGATCCGCCCTAGCATCTAGTCCCGCTTCGGAACAAGCGGACCGATCCATATTGGCCAGTATCAGCAACAGCGACTCCAGCAATGTGTCAACTTTCCGAAAAAAGTCCAAAAGTGGAAAGTCTCTCCGCTCCAAACTTCGCAAAAGCCTCCAATCAGAGTCTAGTCTCAACATCGGTAGCTCGTTCAACGGATCTCGCAGCACCTTCTACGTGACGGACTCGCTTGACGTTGATTCGGGGATCTTCAACGGCAGTGAACCAAACAGTTCATCATCGAATCTAAATGTAGCCTCCGTGGGTAAAGACACCCCGTCCCCACAGAAGCTCTCCATCCACAAAACCCCGGATGCCGATCGACGAAAGTCCTTGAACGGAGGAAGCCCCGCTAGTCGGCCCACTATTCCACCTCCACCGCCGCCTATCAGTGCTCCCGGTGGGGATAAAAAGTTTCTGAAGAACCGGAAACTGGGCGCCACCTCGTGGTACGCCGAGTGTGGAGTGTTCAAGGCAGATAGTCTCAAGCAAGCGGCTTCGTTCGAGAACGAACTGAAAAACAAGGAGCGCAGCACGACGTCCTGGTATGCGGAAGCCGGTCTGTATCAGACCAGTGATGTTTCTGTTGCGAGGTAAGTTCCCTTCCCATGAATTACAACATCATTTGCATTAATGATCCAATTGCTTACAGCTCAAGTGAAAGTTCCGGTGTGTCGACGGGTGGAGAAGGAGGTGGAGAGGACGACCATTCACATAGCATGTTTGTCAATGAACCACTGTACCAGATCTACAACGCGGCGAAGTTGGAATCGTTGACGCGGGATATCGATGCGGAAATTACCGGCGGTGACACGGAGCTGTACGACGATGGGTACGAGAAGATCTCCGGCCACGGGAAGGACGAGCTGGGCGTGACCGGGATGGTGGGTGGTTTCGGCGACGAGGACATTGTGAGTCGAAAGCTGAGGCCGAGCGCGTTCGAGCTGATCGAGCCGAACGTGGGCAAGCTGCGGACGCTCTGGTGCGAGATTCCGGAGGTGATCAATTCGGAGATTTTGTGTGAGTATTAGAGGGAAATGTAAAACGGAGTGAAGTTGATCATTGAGGTGAAATTCATCACGATACCTTCTCTTCTCGAGAAATATTGTTTGCGCTAATGCCATGCAAAAAAAAATCTTCATAATCTCTAATTTTATGAAAGCTGTGGAATATGTAATTTTTCACTGTTACTGCGTACACTAAATTTGATTAGTGGTTGTGGTTTCTATGAATAAGTAGACTTTGTCGAAGAAATTCAGGCGTAACATTTGATAACGGCACAAAAGCTTTTGTAAACAAACTTTGTAAGGTCCTTTGCACGTGAACCAAAGTGGAAGCTGCCAAAATCTTCTGTGGCTTTTGAAACTCTTACCATTTCAGCCAGCGTTGCCAGATATACCGATTTTCAAACTTGATACCGGTATACAGATAAGGTTTCTTAGAATTTCGATTTTTGAGTTTTAATACCGATTTATACCGATTTTTCATTAATAAACAAAATGATTACTGCCTGCCCGCACTAAATTGTCAGAGGAAACTATTGTGAGAGAGTTTTATCTATCTGAAAATTAAAAATAAAAGAATGTCATCTTCAAAAATGTCTTATGCTTGATACTCTTTCGAGTAATGTTTCCATTTTCTCGCCGTTTTTGGATACCAAGGAGTCGAGAAACAGCTGATGGCTCATCCCGGTAATTTCTGGAAACCGGGAAATACTTTTATTCAGTGGAAAAATTGATCCATAAAAACGTTAATTTTTAAACTTCGTGAAAGGTTTTTCCAACTTTCCCTAGAAATGTCCGTCCACCTTACCCTGTAAGTTATTTTCCGATTCCTTACGGAAAGCTATTTCGACTTCCCTTGGAAGCTTCAGGAAAACTACAGGAACATTTCAGAAGTTCTGAAAAGTTCGAAATTTGGGTAGGTTCCCATAAATTGAAGACAGTTTCATTAAACTCTGTTCAAATTCGAGAACCCGGGAATCTTCTGGGCTTTCCTGAACTGCAATGAACTTAAGGAAACTGAAATATTTTGGAAACTTCACTAGTCCAAAGAACTTCAAAGAAATTTAATGGTTTTCAGGATAGTTCCATTTGTTTCAGGAGAATTGAGATAACTTTAGGGAATAAGAGACGAACCAGCTACAGGCTGAAAGTCTATATAATAAGGCAAAAAAAACTTTAGGGAAGCTCTGGGAATATCAGGACATAGAAATTTCTGATCCTTTAAATGAGTTCCGAGAAATTCAGGGAATTTCCGAAAACTTCAGTAAGGGAAGTAACATGAATATTAGAAAATTGTGAGAACATTTAAGGAAAGTTCTGTGTTTTTATCGGCAGTTTAGAGAACTTTAGAAAAATTACAAAATCGAGAAGTTCACAGAACTTTAATGCTGCCGTTCATTAGTTAAAAAAATGAAAGCGCTAAACAAGATTCAGGGACTTTTAAAGAAGATAAGACATTTTCCGGTAATTTCATAATAATTAGAGAAGTTTCGAGTACTTCAAGGATGATGAGAGAACTTCAAAACAGCCCCATTTACTTTAGGAAAATTGCAAGAACTTTCAAGGAGTTCCGAGGAATAATGGGATATTCCGAAGTGCAATTCAGGAATGTTCCGAAAGCGTCAGGGACATTGTGGGGTTTTTCAGGGATGTTTTATGAACATGAAAATTGCTGGATCAATAGAGCATGTGAGGAACTTCAGGGAATATTGTGCTAATATCCCCCAGAAATCCATTTCTTCCAGATATTTTCCATCTTCTCCTTGAAGTATCTTTCGACTGTTCCGTGAGCCTGGCGTTCGACTTTTTCCAGAAGTTTCTACCAATCTATCTTAGGAAGTTTCTCCCAGTGTACCGTAAAAGTTTCTTCCGTCTTCTCCAGGAAGTTCAATTAAAGTTCTACCGGATGTATCCATCGAGTTCTCCCTGAAGTTTCTTTCGTCTTCCTCTGGAAGTTTCTCCATAAGTCTCCGTGGGTTTTTTACCGACTTATTAGAAGGTTTTTCCGAGCTTCTCCTGGCTTCCGATTCCCACACTTTTCTGGCTTCTGGATTTTTCCGAAAGTTTCTAAAAAAAAAATCCAGAAGTTTCTCAATATTTGTCTTGGGAGATCCCCATCCCCCGACATTTCTTAGAGATTCCTTCAAACTTCCTCAACAAGATCTTCCTTATTCTTACTTTGGAAGTTTTGTCGGTACCATTAATAGACAAATTCAAATATTTCCCAGAAATTTCTTCCGACTTACATGGAAAGTACATCATTCGATTTTAGTCCGAAAGTTTGAAAAAATATAAAATTAATTAATAGTGAATACCGATAAGTACCGAGTTTTTTAATCATTTGATACCGATAACCATGAAAACAATCTGGGAATGCTGATTTCAGCATTGCCTTGTCGTTTTCGCCCACTTGGATTTGTTATGTAAACATGGCCAGCTGTAAGTTGGAGAGCAAAGGGGTCAAAAGTAAACATCAGAAGAAATGTCATGGAAACCAAGCGTTAAATATTTTCCAAGGTGGGATTGGTGTAAGCGAAATCGAAAACGAAATTTAAGAACGACGAACTTAAAATCACTTGAGTCTAAATGCAGAAAAATTTCGCAATACACTTGTTTAAAATTATATGGCTGAAACGGTATAGGGCTAAATCGCTACGAAGATACTGCCAAAATCGTTCGTACATTACGAAGCAGGAGTTCAACCGCACAAGTAACAACTATAGGAAATACAACAGATTCCTGTTTCGGCGATATGTCTTCCGTACGCAATCATCTCTTCGCCGAAATCCAAAGCGTTTCTGGTTGTTTGTAAACTCTAAAAAGCACGAAGTCGGTTTGCCATTGTCAGTTCATCTTGGTGAGCAAACCGCTGAATCTGAACCGGAGAAATGCCGCCTTTTTGCTCAACATTTCATGAGTTCGTTCAATGAATCTTCGGCCTCACCAAATCAAGTCACGATTGCTATAAGTGATTCTCCAGCAGATGCATTTGAGCTCCGTCCGTTTCACATCAGTGAACATACCGTCAATCTAGCTCTTCAAAGGTTGAAACTCTCGTTTGCTGCCGGGCCAGACGGCATTCCTGCGTCCGTTCTGAAGCTGTGTTCGGAGTCGTTGCTCACTCCAGGAGAGTAAATTTCCTGAGACGTGGACATTTTCGTATATGTTCCCCGTCCGCAAGAAATGCGCTAAAAGGAATGTCCAGAATTAGTATTCGTGATCATCATTAATGAGGCGCTCTTCAGCTCTTGCTCAGCATGGATTCTACCCTTGCTGGTCAGCTACAACCAATTTGACCGAATTTGTGTCGCTCTGTGTTCGGACCATAGACTCTGGTGGACAAATCGACGCTGTTTACACGGATCACAAGGCTGCATTTGACCGAGTAGACCTCAAGCAGCTTGATAAACTCGGAGTGTCTAGATCCTTCATCTCGTGGTTCAAATCTTACCTTAACATTAGAGAGGATTAGCCAGGTCAAAGATTTGGGAGTAACACTCGACTGTGAATTGACCTCAAAACCGCACTACAATGACATCCTGATTAAAGCTAACAGGCAGCTTGGCTTTATGTTCAAAATAGCTGAAGACTTTCGCGATCCACTTTGCCTGCGGGCGCTGTATTGTTCGTTAGTACGATCAATCTTAAAGTATTGGCGTTGACGGCACCGTCGAAAAAAATTCTCTTCCAGTAAATATAGGCAGGGAATTTTCGATGGAGTGAAAGGATAGTGCAAAGTCCGCACAGTCTGACGTTTGCTTATAGATTTTCTCATAGGAGTTAAGATATACAAAGTCGCTGTCAACACCAATAGTGCTGTCGTCTAGTGCCCATACCAAGCATGCTGGATAGCCAGATTTGAGAGTGTACAGAGAAAGTTTTTTTGACGTAGGACTACGTTTTTGATTTCTATATGGGGGTACACTTAGTGAAAACCGAAAATGGAACATGTAACAAATTAAGAAAGATTTTGAACGTTAATAACTCAGCTGCCCCTGGTCCAATTTCAATAATTTTATCACCAATCGATCAGAAATATGGCTACGCATCGATAAAAATGCTTCCGAATGTTGATTTTCAACAAGAAACTATTGAAAAACTGGTAAATGTCCAGCATTGTCCAAAAGCATCGAATTAACTAACAAATCCACCAATTACCTACATGCATATGCTGCTTCCCCAGCACAGTCGTCAGAGAGTAGTAAGTAGACGAAACAAGTCGAAGTGGCATTCGCCTCCGATCTTCGGGCGCGTGCGAATAGGGAGGATGGAATTGCGTAATATTTTGCACACTCATCGCCATATTTAGAACCAAACGCAAATTCTTCAAGATAACCACCTCAATCAATTTCTGGAGCACAACATTGTTCCGGATGACTGGAGGCAAGTAAGAGTTATCGCCATTCGAAAACCCGGTAAACCCGCGTCGGATTATAACTCGTACCGTCCCATCGCGATGCTGTTCTGTATACGGAAATTGTTGGAGAAAATGATTCTTTTTCATCTAGACAAATGGGCCGAGTCGAATGGTTTACTTTCAGATACGCAATTTGGATTTCGGAGAGGCAAAGGAACGAGCGACTGTCTTGCGTTGCTTTCAACTGAAATTCAACTGGCCTATGCGCAAAAACAGCAAATGGGTTCAGTTTTCTTGGACATTAAGGGGGCTTTTGATTCTGTTTGTATCGATGTCCTTTCGGATAAACTCCACGATAGTGGGCTTTCACCAATTATGAACAACTATTTGAGCAACTTGTTGTCTGAGAAATATATGAGCTTTTCTCATGGAAACTCGACAACTTCACGAATTAGTTACATGGGTCTCCCCCAGGGTTCATGTTTAAGCCCCCTTCTTTATAATTTCTATGTAAAAGACATTGATGGTTGTCTTGATGAAAATTGCTCGCTAAGGCAGCTTGCAGATGACGGGGTTGTGTCCGTTATAGGGCCAAGTGCACCGGACCTGCAAGGACCATTGCAAGATACCTTAGACAATTTGTCTACTTGGGCAATGAA